AAGAAACACTGCTTCAGAAAATACTAGAGAACGATAGAGAATCTTACTACACACAGAGCCATTCCTCAGCAAGACAATAATCCTGGGGCAGTTGACCTTGCCTTTACACAGAGACCCCTCTAGCAAATACAAGAAGAGTGGCTCAGGCTGCAGTCAGTTCCTAGAAAACTTTCTACTATGTCTTTTATGGTCTCCTTTTCCCTGCAGCTGATGCAGATTCCAAAAATCTAGTCTACTGGCAAGATATCTGGCAACATGCATACAAACAGGAGGTCTATGAACAACTCACATGTAACTGGGGGAGATATATCATTTAAATCCTTTGACTTTGAATCCACTATATATTTTTAAAACACATCTAAGCAGAGATACAGTTACAGGCAAGAGTAAAGATGGGTGCATTTTGTATTTAGAATAAAATGTAATTCAGACTAAAAGGAAAAATACTCAGAAAAACAAACTTGGTTAAATGTTTACCCCTTTAAAAAAAAACTTTTTTTATACTGGTAGAATAGAAATAGATTTTTCTCTTAAGAAATAAAGTCCCCCATGTCTCTTGCATCTCTACTTTTTATTTAAGAAAACTTAATCCTAGTTTTCTAAGTTGCAAATACATTATATTCTACATGGTTGACAATGGGAAACCTTCTTTACCTCAGAACACGCAGTTACTGAAAATGATTTTGAAGCGACTGAATATACAAGCTTGAAATTAATTTTTGGTAAACGTTTAAATGCATTTGTCATGATTACTTTAGAAGCTGAGTACCTTGATGCCTACTATGCAGTAATCCGTGTTCCGGCACCTAATATGGCAGAATTACACTGTATTTTAATTACTTTAAAATATAAAAGCACTGTAAAATATCGATGCTATTATTGTTATCATGAGCATCAAATAGCTTTCGGAGAACTTGACCACAATGGTTAAAAACCTCTTTTTGGTCTTATGGCTATTTTTTATCGTGTTATTCTAGTGTAATCCCAAAACATTCTTGTTTCTGTAGGAGGAAACTGATAGAATTCATAATCAAATGGCATCACCATTAACCACAAAAGCACACATAAAAAATCTTAATAACAAATTAGCATGTTTCTTTGGGTTCAAGTGACAGCTCCCAATTCATTTAACACACAAAATTTAAGATGCAGAAAATTAATTTTCAGCTCCATTTGTCTTTTCACTGAATTCTTCTAAAAATGGCAGAGCCTTAGTTTTGGACTTAACATTTCTGTGCCTATGGCTATCAACTTGTATCTGATAAAGAAAATTTTTCTGTTTGAACTCAGTTTTTCCCTTCCCACTTATTCCTTCTATAATACCTTTGCTCTATCCATACCTGAGCTACACCATTTAATTGTTTCATCTCTTCTAGCCTTGGCCTCAAATTTAGGTTGTGTTAGTCAACTCAGCCCGTTTCTAAAGTTGAACAGAACTAAGATTTCTGAAACAAGTAGGAGAGGATATCACAAATATTTGATGTGAGATAGGGTATCTAAAAATATGAACATTTAAAATTCCAATATTAGCTTCCTGATCTCATATCTAATGCGTATTTTACATTTTTCTCTCTATTGAGTAGCATTACTAAACTCATCTCTTACTATCCAGGTCTAGAGATTCACCTTGATGTAGAGAAGGGTTTATCAATCTTGGCACTACTCACATTGTAGTCTAGAACACTTTTTGTTGGAATAGAGGATTAGAGGGTCCTGGGGGTAGGGGAGATCCAGCATTCTGTCCATAGTAAGATGCATTATAATATGTTTACCAGTATCCTTGGTCTCTACCAACTAGATACCAGTATCATCACACACACATACAAACAGGCAACTATGACAACCAAAATGTCTTCAGATATTGCAAAATGTTCTCTGGGTGAGGAGTTCAAAATAAACCCATGCTAAGAAACACTGCTTCAGAAAATACTAGAGAACGATAGAGAATCTTACTACACACAGAGCCATTCCTCAGCAAGACAATAATCCTGGGGCAGTTGACCTTGCCTTTACACAGAGACCCCTCTAGCAAATACAAGAAGAGTGGCTCAGGCTGCAGTCAGTTCCTAGAAAACTTTCTACTATGTCTTTTATGGTCTCCTTTTCCCTGCAGCTGATGCAGATTCCAAAAATCTAGTCTACTGGCAAGATATCTGGCAACATGCATACAAACAGGAGGTCTATGAACAACTCACATGTAACTGGGGGAGATATATCATTTAAATCCTTTGACTTTGAATCCACTATATATTTTTAAAACACATCTAAGCAGAGATACAGTTACAGGCAAGAGTAAAGATGGGTGCATTTTGTATTTAGAATAAAATGTAATTCAGACTAAAAGGAAAAATACTCAGAAAAACAAACTTGGTTAAATGTTTACCCCTTTAAAAAAAAACTTTTTTTATACTGGTAGAATAGAAATAGATTTTTCTCTTAAGAAATAAAGTCCCCCATGTCTCTTGCATCTCTACTTTTTATTTAAGAAAACTTAATCCTAGTTTTCTAAGTTGCAAATACATTATATTCTACATGGTTGACAATGGGAAACCTTCTTTACCTCAGAACACGCAGTTACTGAAAATGATTTTGAAGCGACTGAATATACAAGCTTGAAATGAAGGTGGAATTTTAGTTTCCACATTCCATTTAATCTTGGTAAATATGAGGCACTAATTACTATGTTTCCTTGTATACATCCAGACACTTTAATTTAAGCATTAGTCCTATTAAACAACAGCAACAACCTTTTTACTTAATAATCACATTTTTTCCCTCTTCGTAGGTTATGTCATTAAATTAGACCTTAGGGACTTAATTTAAAATTGTGAAAATACTTTTACATTCATATAAAATATCTCAAAATAAAAAAATAAAATAAGGGATACACTAACAGTTTATTTTTTAAATGGCAGTCTGTTGGGGTTTTTCAATAAGAATGTCAAAAATTGAATGCAAATGCACCCTGACCTAGATAATTACTTGACTGTATCAGAGACAGAAGGAAAGAGATGCTCTCATCAGCAGAGCCAGACTTAAAGAAAGTGGGAAAATGCTAACAAATCCAGAAGATCAAATTGCTTTAACTGCTTATCACACACATTTACATAGTGAGTAGGGGCAAGAGTATTTGGTTTATTGCTGTTTTGGTTCTTGTAAATGATTCTCACTAAAAATGCAAGAGGTTAAAATTTATTGAAATGTCACTAACTCTAAATTCATAAACACTAAGAAATA